AAGCCTTCCCTTTACCACTGCACCATGAGCTGGATGACCTTCAGGGGACGCCACACCACCAACACTGATGGGTTAGAGGCAAGGCACCCTGGGGAGTTGAGAAGGAAAACGGGTCCTGAATTCTCAGCTGAAGGCAGACTGGGGCCAGCCAGACCTTGGAATTCCAGATGGGCCAATGGCACTGGTCCTGGTCCTACAGTTGGAAAGTCACCAAAAGTAGGGTGACCAGACGTCCTGCTTTTGGCAGGACAGTCCCACTTTTCAACATTTGTCCCGTATCCCGCAGCGTTTTTAAAAAGTCCCGATTTTTGGAAAGAATGCACAAACGGGCAGGAGAACAGGAAGGGAATATACGGTTTCGGCTGCCATGTGGCTATTTCGCCAGAATATGAGTTTTATATTACTTTTGTTAATTTTATAATGTTAAGCTGTAATAATAACAAATAATTGATGAGAAGTGATTATCGAGAACTGCTTATCAAAGTTTACATTGTTGTCAGGCCCTGCCCTGCCCTGCCCCATCCCCTGCCCCCGCCATGTTGTCCTGCAGCCAGGCCCTGGGTCAGAAATAAAATCTCTTAGATTTTTGAAGGATTAAAGAAAAAAATCATAATTTTCTGTAGGGACTTCCTACTTCAACAAAACTTGCCAACAAGCCATCTCTGGAGGAAGGATAGAACTTTCTCCCCCTGCTTGGTGGCACCCCTCACTCACCTGAAACAGGCAACTCCAACCCAGATCACCCAGCTCAGAACCTACAATTTAGGCGCCCATGCAGCATTTTGAGCTCCTAGCCAACCCTCCAGTTCTGGGTGGTTCCCAAAGGAGGGCTGGATTCTATATGATCTCAAGGCCTCCAGGATTGCAAGGTGGGTCAGGATCAATTTGTGGTAAAGTCACACAGCATTTGGGTTTAACACTTGGGCTTTATCAGAGAAACTTAGCCTGAATCCCAGTTGCTCCACTCAGCAGGTGTATGTTTGGGGGTCAGCCTTGACTGTTCTGAGCCTGTTGTCTCTGAGAAAGAATGGCACTATGGTAGCTCCATTGCCTGCTCTGTGTCCTCAGATGGATCTTGTATCCTTTCTGGGCTCCATTTTTCTTCTCTGTAGCAAGGTTGTGGTCTTTCCCCCTTCTGCATCTCAGAAATGGAGGCAGTGACAATCCTTGTATCCATCTTTAAATGGTCTCTACAAATACAAACTACTTGTCTGTTTCTCCCACTGGTGCTTTTAACAAGAAGCTGAGGGATGTGCACATAGCCTCTCACCTGATTGGAAAGTAAAGAAGACCTAGGGAACCAAGTCTCCCAAATGCCTTGGGAGAGAGGCAGTTGGCATTTGTGGTGGTTCGTTGTATTACAGGAATCTAGTTTCAGTTGTTTCCTTAGAACTACTTCAAAAGCTATTTGACTTTGGCCCCTGAACCTGCTGCTGCTTCCTCACACCACTCTCACCAGTCTACTTCACTGGAGTCCTGTCTGTCCTGCCTACATTTATACTGGGATTGTCAGCCAGGCGCGGTGGCTCACACTAGGTGTCATCCTAGCACTCCAGCAGGCCGAGGCGGGTGGATTACCTGAGCTCACAGTTTCAAGACTAGCCTGAGGAAGAATGAAGGAAAGTGAAACCCCATCTCTAAAAAAGGCTAGAAGTTCTGGGTACCTGTAGTCCCAGCTACTTGGGAGGCTTGGTTAAGAGAATCACTTGAGGCTCAGCGCCTATAGCTCAACCGGCTAAGGCGCCAGCCACGTATACCTAAGGTGGCGGGTTCGAATCCCCAGCCCGGACCCGCCAAACAACAATGACGGCTGCAACCAAAAAATAGCCGGGCGTTGTGGCGGGCGCCTGTGGTCCCAGCTACTTGGGAGGCAGAGGCAGGAGACTCGCTTGAGCCCAGGAGTTGGAGGTTGCTGTGAGCTGTAATGCCATGGCACTCTACCCAGGGGGACAGCTTGAGGCTCTGTCTCAAAAAAAAAAAAAAAAGAGAATCACTTGAAACCAATAGTTTGAAGTTATTGTGAGCTATGATGCCCACTATTGTGAGCACTCTAACAAGGGTGACAAAGTGAGACTCTGTCTCAAAAAAAAAAAAAAGAAAATGCACTGGGATTATCATTTATCATTAGACCTCCATCTGCTCCCTCAAGCCCTGGGTGCAAGTAATTTGGGCCTGGGAATTGGGTACACTTGTATTGCCTCTGACAAAATTGCCCAGGGATTCGTACCTTGGGAAGAAATTTGGAGTAAGCTCGTGGTCATAACTAGTCTTAGTGCTTAGGTGGACAGGAATCTATCTGTGGGAACACCATGAAAGTACCTAACCTTTGAGTCCAGAGGTTGGGTAGAGTCACCCTTGGCCTCTTCTACTATAAAGGCCCTTTGGGGTGTCACACAGCTATGGAATTCACACTTTGATAGGCCTGACTTTGTATGCACTTGTTCACCATCTTGACTTGTAATTCCAGGGTGAGGAGAGAAGAAGGGCTTCCATGTGGTCAGTATCCATATAGGCCAGGGGAGGTAAAAGGAGATGGACTCAGAACACAGATACTGCTGGAAAAGCCAGTGCCCTTTCAGCTATTTGCCTGGAGACCACAGTGTCTAAAGGTATAGCTAGAGCTCTGGTAGTGTCCAGTGGGGGATGCTCATTGAGTTCTTCTAGGGCAAGAGCTTCCTCCCAATCTGCATCAAGCCCTGCCCTCAAGACTCAGGTCTTTCAACAGCCAAAGCCTGCTGCCAGATTCTGGCGGGGGTGATGTTGGGGTTCCTCCTTACTATCAGATATAAGAATTATGCCTCAGCTTGTTCTTAACGAGGAGTGGAAGTGACAGCTTTTGGGGCAGATTCCCTCCTCCTCAGCTCCCTCCTCAGTCATCACCGAGATAGTTACTTTCCCAACAGAAAGGTCAGTGGTACGATAAAGTTATGCTTGAGTGGGAACAGCCTGAGAGATGAGAAGAATGGCTAAAGAGGGGAATAGCACCAAATACTTGGGGCCTGAACCACAAATGAGAATGAGGATGCTGGATCCTGACCCATGGTAATGTCTTCATTCTTTCTCTCCCTCCACACAGGATTGCAGCCTTAAGCAATCGAGAGACTCGGCTCCAAGAGGTCCGCTCAGCCTTCTTGGCCACGTACAGCAGCACAGTGGGGCTTCGGGCAGTAGCCCCTAGTCCCTCGGGTGCTATTGGGGGTCTGCTGGAGCAATTTGCCCGTGGTGTTGGGCTCCGGGGCACGAGCAGCAATGCCTTGTGAAGCAGCTAACATGTGACAGTTTCCTGCTCCTCACTCACCTGAGCCCTTAGTGGAATCAAAGCCATGCCTGGCCAAGGGGCACTCCAGGTTGGGGGCAGTTTCACTCCCCCTTTCTGTCATGCACATAGCAGTCCCAAAGCTGAGCAAGGCCAAGGACAAGGTTTTCCAACCCCCTGTCTCGTGACTGGTGACCACCACCCCCTCTTGTCACTGCCTTCTCCTACCCACCCGTCTTTGCTGGGATTCCTGCCAACTCTCAGAACTGTGTGGAGTTTCCCTGGGACTTTGTGGAGGCCATGACTTCACAAAAGAACTCACCTTCTAATTGTTTCCTGAGGAGGACGGGTCACCTGCACTGAGAATGAGGCGGTTTGACACAGATCACAGAATAAAATCGGTCTTTTGGAACAGCCACTTTCTTATATCCTCATTTGGTTACTTACTGCCTTTGTGGAGCAATTTGGAAGGTTCTCACAAATTGTCCTTTGTGCTGGACAAAGGTGTTAAAGCAAGGGAGGGGGCAGGTGAAACAGGAAGCGATCTAAAGACCTGGCTGTGCCTCTTAACTATTGAGCCATGGTAGTCCTCTCAGTGAGATGGGGACAGGTCCTCACAAGACTGTTAAGAATCGTGGTCCTCAAGCGGGCCCTAGTCACCTAGGGAGCCTGTGCAGATCCCCAGGGCTGCCTGAATTTTAGCCTTAGAATTGGCAAGGATCTTCATTTGATTGGGAATACGGGTTGAGGGAACCTGCACTTCAACCTCAAGTTTTTCAGGCAGCACAATCCTGGTACAGGTGACCTGCAGACCTTGCCTATGGTAGAGGGACTGGTTTCTGAGGCTTTAGAGGTAGCAATTGGTGCACATGTGCGGTGGGGATGGCCTGACTGACCACCACCCTCTACTACAGTCTGACCTGGAATAGACTGCATCATAAGGGTGCATCCATATCCCTGACATGGTGAAGCCAGGTGAGTTCATGGGCAGAGGGCTATACACAGTGCTTTAATAGCCACCACTTACAGATTGGATTCTTAACACAAAAGAGGTCATCAGTGTGAACACCCAGAGATAATATCAGGAACATTTATTAAGCACTTGCTGTGTGATAAGTCCTTTACTTGAGTTATCCCCATAAAATTTGACAGTACCCCAAGTAGCTGCTATTACAGCCTGTCAATGAGACTAAACCATAGAAATGTTAATTTGTCCAAGGTCACACAGCTAATAAGAACAAATGTAACTTTTCCTATTGAGAGAACTAGGCAGACTGGGAATGGGAAGGGTACAGAAAAATTGTTGAGAGCTGCTGAGTAAGAGGCAAGGACCCCAGTGCCCGCTAGGTGCCCCAAATCCTTCAGCACCACGAAAAGCTCAGGGCGGGGGTGGAGGGGGGGGGGGGCTTGGGTTTCCACCCAGGAGAGTCACGCGGGGCACAATCCACAAGGTGTGGATTGGAGTTGGGGGTCTGGGTGAGGTTCCCCGCCAGCTCAAGGCTGTCCAATGGGGCGGGGGCCGCCTGCAGGGCCGGGCGGGGCTGTGCTGCCATCTGGAGCAGCTGCTGCCGGCGGCCACTGTTAGGGCGCAAGCGGCGGGAGCGCACGCAGAGCTGGAGGGAGTGCAGCCGCCGCCGCCGCCGCAGCAGCAGCAGCACATGGGCTGGCCCCGCCACTGCCACCGCCCCTAGCCCTGGCGGCCCGGGTCTTGCAGCCTTCTGCGGCTCCAGTTGCCTGACCAGCCATGTCTCTCGGTGGAGCCTCCGAGCGCAGCGTCCCAGCCACCAAGATTGAAATTACCGTGTCCTGCCGGTGAGCGGGCCATGCTGGGGAGGGCTTGGGCACTGGCACTGCCCCAGCCCCAACCGGCTCCGGGGCTCAGCCCAGACAGGGGCTAGACCCTGCAGGAAAAGGCATTGGGGGCGGGAAAATCACAGCTGAAGACCGGAGAGTAGCTAGTGGGACCGAGGAGGGGGCCTCCTAGGGCAGCCCCACCCCCCAAAGAGGGCTCAGCCTGCGGATCCAAGGGGTGGGTCGCGAGGCTCTACTAGGAGCTGGGCCCCAGCGGGACAAAGTTCTGGGGTGATCCCTCTTTCCTGGGCCTTGAAGACAGTATGGGAGAGTGGGAGAGTATTCGTCGAGTCCGCAGAAACAAGGTTCCTGGACAGAGATTTCCGGTGCTGTCCAGAGTGCTGACAGCACGGACCCCGGCTCGGGGTAGAAATGAGGGAAAGAGGTTTGACTTAAGCGCCATCCATTCTTCCCCTGTGCCCGACTCAGGGCAGTGTTGGGGCGGTGGGCTCCAGGATGATCCGCTCTGTCTGTTGCTTTTCTCTAGGAACCTGCTGGACCTCGATACCTTCTCCAAGTCCGACCCCAGTAGGCGGCTCCAGGACTGGGAGGGGGAACCTGGGGCCTCGGCGCGACTGAGGGGTGGCGGGGGGGCGAGGGGTGCAGGCCGACCTGACGCCCTTCCCTCCCCCGCTCCCCACCCGCAGTGGTGGTGCTTTACACGCAGAGCCAGGCCAGCCAGGAGTGGAGGGAGGTGAGTCTCAGAGCCTCCTCACAGCCCAGAGCCGCAGCCAGAAATCACCTGCCCTCCTGCACGCCCTGCGCTAACCCTCCGCTCCCCCCATCTAGTTCGGACGGACCGAAGTGATCGACAACACGCTGAACCCAGACTTCGTGCGCAAATTCGTCCTGGACTATTTCTTTGAGGAAAAGCAAAAACTGCGCTTCGATGTGTGAGGCCCCGCCCAAAATTCTGGCTTGGCCTGCCCCCCGACCTGGTTCTGCCGGGAATTCTGGCTAGCTCCAGCCCCGCCCGCCTCCTGACCTGACTCCTCCCCGACGCCTAGCTCCGTCCCACTCCGAAGAGCTCCACCTAGTTTTAGGCCCGCCCTTAAGTCAGATCCAGTCCGTTTAGCTACCCAGGCCTGGCCCTACCCACAACTCTACTCCCTAATTTAGCTCCACCTCTGTCCCCGCCCTCTTCCAGGTAACTCCGCCCCCAGGAAACCCCCACCCCCAGACTTGGCCCCCGGGCCTGACCCTCTCCAGTTTCTGACCTGACTCCTGTCCCAAACAGACCCAAGTTGAATTCGGGTTCAAGGCCGCCCCTCCCTCCACCCACAATGTTAATCAAGACTCGGAGCCCGACCCCTTTTCAGCCCTACCCCACGGCTGTCCCACTCTCTTCCTAGGTACAACGTTGACTCCAAAACCAACATCTCCAAACCGGTGAGCAAGCGTCCCCTCCCACGCTGGCTGGGCACACAGGAGACGCTTAGATGTTTAAACCTCCCTTCTTAGAACTCCTCCTACTCCTCGACCCTGACCCCGCCTTTTTTCAGGCCCCCAACCCATCTTTCCCACCCTCTCCTGCTCCTGCCTGGGTTTCCCCGCCTCCGCCCCTTACTCACTTCTCCTCTTCTTTCTCGGGCTGCTGCTGGGATCCACAGAAGGTGAGGCTGAAACAGGCAGGGCCTGAAGGTGGAAGGTGGAACTGTATTGTGGAGAGCAGGCTTGAACTTACTACTGACCAAGAAGCACACCCCTTCATCCCTATCCCCTCCATTAAAGCCAGGAGGTGGCTCTTGCAACATTCTGCTACCTGGGAACTGCCCTGGTTGTGTACACCATCATCACCAGGGTTGGGCTGGGACTTGGTGCCAACAACCCCTCCTGGTCTTACTGATTCCGTGTCCTGGCACAGGATTTCCTGGGACAAGCATTCCTGGCCCTGGGAGAGGTGATCGGAGGCCAGGGCAGCCGTGTAGAGCGACCCCTCACGTGAGTGAATGGGAAGGGGTGCAGGTGAGGGGTGCGAGGCTCCAAATCTCCCTTCCAAGGAAGCTGTTGACTGACCATAGGGAGGGTGGGATTGCCCCTGGTCTGGAGCTTTACTGGCTCCCATCACGCTTGTGGGAAAGTCCAGTCTCCGGGGCTGCTCTGTTTAAGTCATCAGGCCTGACATTTTTTCTCTCTCTCACCTCACTCTTTCTAAGTCTGATTCAATCTTTAAGGTCCAAGTCCTTCTCCACCAGGAAGTTTCCCCTGACTAAATCAAATCCTGAGGAATTTCCATTATATCCACTCACTAAATATGAACTAGCATGTTTTGTATCCCACACCCTGTTTTAGGCACCAGGGATTCATTCATCCCACAAATACCACTGTGCATATACTCTATGTCAGCCACTGTTCAAGGGATTGCAATGGTGAACAAAACAAAGGTTCCTGCCTTTGGAGAGCTTATACTCTAGTTGGCAGGGTGAGTAATAAGTAAAAGATGTAGTAAGTAAATTACATAATAGAAGACATTAAGTGCTATGGGAAAAGAAAAAATAAAGCAGAATAAGGGGGACTGGAAGTGCTGGATGGGTGGAGGTGGGTGAGTAGGCCTCGTGGGCAGGTGACTTTGGAGCAGCTATCTGAAGGTGAGGGAGTAAGCGCTGTGGACATGTGGAGGAAGAGTACAGAAGCATAATGTGTTTGAAGAACAGCAAGGAGGCCAGGTTGGAGCCCAGGAAGTGAGGGGAAGGCAGGTGAGGTAAGATTGTTAACAGTTAGGGCCTAGTAGCCTCTGTAAGGACTGTGGACTGTTATTCTGAGAGAGGACTATGCTTTCAAAGGATGTGCTGGCTACCAGTTTAAGAATAAACCTTGGGTGGCCAAAGGTAGAAGCAGGGAGCCAGTGAAAAGGCTGTGACAATAATGCAGTGTGTCAGCAGTGGAGGGAGGAGAAGGGGTCATGGTCTGGACATATTTTGAAGGCGGAGCCAACAGGTTTCTGAAGACTGAATATAGATGTGAGAGGGAAAAAAGTGAAGGAGGGGCAAGTTGGGGACAGGAATTGAATCAGGAGTTCAGTCTGATCTGTTGACTTCCTTTTTTTTAAGAGATAGAGTCTCACTCTATAGCCCTCAGTAGAGTGCTATAGTGTCACAGCTCACAGCAACCTCCAACTCCTGGGCTCAGGCAATTCTTTTGCCTCAGCCTCTCAACTAGCTGGGACTACAGGAACCCACCACAACGCCTGGCTATTTTTTTTGTTGTTGTTGCAGTTTGGCTGGGGCTAGGTTCAAACCCCTGACCCTCGGTATATGGGGCGGCGCCCTACCCACTGAGCCACAGGTGCCACCCTGATCTGTTGACTTTCATATGTTTTATTAAACATGTGAGTGGAAGTGTCAAATAGGCAAAATGATACTTGAGTCTTAGATGCTCCTTAAGGCCATGATGCTAGATGAGATCCCAAGGAAGTGAAAGGCGGGGGTATAAGAGAGAAAGAGAACCAAAGATTGAGACTCCATGAGGATCTAGAAAAGGAGACTGAGAAGGAGCAATTAATGAAGTACAAAGAGAACCCAGAGAAAGTGGCGTTATCCTGGAAGCAAAGTGAAGAAAGTGTATCAAGGAAAGAGTAACCAGCACATCAAATGTTGCCACAGGTCAAATAAGATGAAGATCGGGAATTGGCCAATAGATATGGTAAGATGGAGATCCCTGCTGGCCCAGTGACTCACACCTGTAATCCCAGCACTTGGAAGGCTGAGGCAGGTGGATCACCTGAGCTCACGAGTTCGAGACCAACCTGAGCAAGAATAGGACCCCATCTCTAAAAACAAAAACAATACCCAGGCACTGTAGCAGGCACCTGTAGTCCCAGCTACCTGGGAAGCTAAGGCAAGAGAATCACTTGAACCCCAGAGTTTTAGGTTGCTGTGAGCTAAGATGGCAAGGCACTCTACTAAGTGTGACCAAGTGAGACTCT